TGTCGACGTGTGCCATCGTCGCGACGGAGATCACCTGGCTCCGTCTATTTGGGCAACACGTCGCCAGCGCCCACCTGGCAGACCAGCTCTGGATCCGCAGGTACGTCGACAACCGCGCCATCATCGTCGACAAGGACGTACTTCACACCAACCCCTATATCTGGCAATTAGCGTCGCTACAATTCTACAAAAAGCCAGTACAACTCGAAGATGAGAACTGTGACGATTTCCTGGGCTTCCGCATCGATGCCAACAACAGCCAGGTCAGCTACAGCTACATCCTTCACTCCCAACCATGGCGCTACCGGTTGCCGCAATCAGCAGGCTCGCGCAAGCTCCGCCTCAGCGGCTACCACAGCAGGAGACACATGATTGAGAGCACGGTGTTCCCACAGTCCCTGGCTCAACAGCAGCTGCAAGCGCTGGACGACCTCTACTTTAAGCTGGGATTTCGAGACCTTGCCGAAGGCGTAAGGCAAAATATGGCGTGATTGGAAAGCTTTAACTTAACTTGTTGCTTTGTGAGGGCTTTTTCTTTGGTGTTGTTTCTTAACCTTAGCTTTTATTCCCAAGCCCAAGCCATGCCACAGAAGCAGCTCAGCAAGAAGCCTCGTGAAGATGTCGAGTTGACAGACGTGGACACGGATTCAGATATGGACCTGCAGCCAGTTCGACTACCCCACGGGCTTCCATTGGACGAGCCACCACCGTGCCTGCCCCTGAGTAACCTCACAGAGGTTGAGCAAGTCTGCCAACAGCATCTCAGCAACGGGCACATCCCTATGTCAGTGTTTCCGTGGCTGGTACAGAAGCTACCATCAGAGCTCCTCCGTGCTTCTGCGCTCACACACCGCGGCACACCGCCCATGGTCTTCACCTCAGGAGCCTACTACCACGCTGGATCTGTTGGTATTCGGACCAATACCAGGAAGTACCCGTGGACATCAGCTCTTCTTGCTCACATGGTGCGAGCCTGCACGCACACAAACTTCTCCACAGTGTCGCTGCTGCACAACGTTAACATGACCACCCACGTCGACAAGTACAATCAACCGGGCTCGACCAACGTGCTAGTGCCGCTGTCACCCTTTCGACGAGGAGAGCTTTGGGGATTTGAAGACCAAGGACCAGACCTATCTCCGAAAGGACAGCATCAAGGACGCAATCATCCCGTTCGACTACCAGGTGTGGAGTTCGACCCATTCACCAAGCATGCGACCTGCCCGTGGAAGGACGATAGATTGGTCCTTTCAGCATATACACCTCTGCGAACAAATCGACTTGAGCTCTCCGACATCGATCACCTCGTGAGCCTTGGGTTTAATTTGTAATTAGGCTTAACTTTTCGTGCGCCTGTAATTTAGCTGTTTAGTGAAAATCACTAAGCACATGCAGCGAAACACAAAAAATGGACGCAGAAGTGCTGCTGGTGATCTTCATTCCTCATTTCAGCCTCAAACTAGTAAAAGAAATCCAGACCTTCCCCGAGCCACCTCCACATGGAGCTACATCGATGGATGGAGCAGCGCGCCTCTGGCCGCGGTCCCCGTCGCCGACGACTCAACCCACGGGAGGACCTACCGGAACATCTGCAACTGCATCACTTACCCCTCAAGAATGTCCTGCAGCTCGGGCAACAGGTGCATGTGTGGTCCTGTCGAACTCGACGGCCAGACCAATGTCATCGCCGAAACACCAAGAACCAAGAACACAACCAACCAAGCCCTCAGAGTCAAGTCGACCCTCCTCGCGGACGCGCACAGCCTGGCATGCGACATGGCCCTCCAGCACACCGAGATCACCGCGTATGCCCTCCTAGAAGTGACGCAGGATATCCACACGCTCATGCACCTCGCCAAAGTAAGCAAGGCTACATGGCTCCACTGCAGACAGACTCTCAAGTCAACATGCACAGACTTCAAGATCCAGTCCAACGCTCCATGGCACAAGCGCGCAGGCCATGCCATTGTTAAATCATGCTGAGACGTCCGTGGACATCAAGATGTACCTGTTCAACAAGCGCATACATACGTGGTATCACCATGAACTTTCATATCAGCAGTATATGGATCTCGAAGCGCGGGAACTCCTGCGCTCGCCATAGACGGTATGATGCCTGGCAAAAACAGCATGTGCGTAATGACTGCCTCGCTGCTTCATGTTTCCCTTGCACTGCCTTTTCCGCCTCCGACCTAGCTTGTGCTTTACCTAAGCCTAAGCCTAAGATTTTTAGACACCATGGACGCCGCGGCACCCACAACTCCACCGTCATCATGCAGCTCCTACGACTACTCCGATGAGGGCGCCGCCGATGCAGCATACCATGTGCTAACAAACGCAACACTGCTGAAAATCATTCTCAGATTCCGCACAGAGATCCGCGTCAGGATAGACACACCAATCAAACCATACAAGGAGCCATGGAGAGGATCACGCAACGGCATCCCCAAACCTACCACACCACCGTGATCAGAGATTACAGACCCCAGCACACCCTCATCGAGAAACTCTACGGCATCATGCTCACCAACTCCCAGGTGAGGTACGCAGTCCGAGCGACGGCGATGGACCAACGCCTGACACACGGCCAGCGCAGTATGAGCGAGGCCGTCAGACGTTTGAGACCACGATCGGCTTCGACAAGTCCGTTTTGCCCCTTACCAGTTCGGGACATGCTTTATCACGAAGATCTTCAAGTGTGGACTTCTGTACAATCGTCCCAACAAGAGGTTCTGGCCCTGAACGTCGGGGAATACCAGTAAACAAGCTCGACCGCATCACGCAGCAGACGCAAGTCAAAGCGAGTGGAAGCTTCTCAGCATGGCTTCATTCCTTTTCAGCGGGCTTTGAGTTCCTTGGTTTGTCTCGGCTGTTGCGTGTTTGCAGTAACTAAACCTTATATACGCAGTGCTCAGCTCTCGCACACGTAGCCGCCATGCCGAACACGAGCAACGGCGGAGAAGATGACTCTCCCAGATCGTGGCGATTCTATTGGAGCAAAATCAACAATCAATGGCAACGAGTCTGGTTCCCAGTGACGAGAGCTTGGCTGTTTGAAAGGGATCGGAAAGATCGCGCTCGTGCTCAAGAACAACAACTTGCAGCAGCTCAACTTCAAGAACGACAAATTCACGGAACAACCACTACCACGGCCTCCAGCACCCCCAACACGACTCCCCCCACAAGGAAGAGGAAGCGAAGCCGAACTCCCTGATGTACATGATATTTATGCCAATTAATATTTTGCTGTGCTTGCAAGTGCGCAGCCACCGGGATGAAAGCCGCGGCCGCTATAGGCGACCACAACAGCAATGCTTGCCACAAAAGAGTTCCTCTCAGAGGTGAGTGTGTGTGGGGAACCCAAACTACAA